CACTCACTCACTCACCCTCACCCACTTACTAACTCCTCACTAACTCACTCACTTTCATCCTCACTCACTCACCCTCACCCACTTACTAACTCCTCACTAACTCACTCACTTTCATCCTCACTCACTCGCCCTCACCCACTTACTAACTCCTCACTAATTCACTCCCTTTCATCCTCACTCACTCACCCTCACCCACTTACTAACTCCTCACTAATTCACTCCCTTTCATCCTCACTCACTCACCCTCACCCACTTACTAAGTCCTCACTAACTCACTCCCTTTCATCCTCACTCACTCACTCACTCACCCTCACCACTTACTAACTCCTCACTATTCACTCCCTTCATCCTCACTCACTCACCCTCACCCACTTACTAACTCCTCACTAATTCACTCCCTTTCATCCTCACTCACTCACCCTCACCCACTTACTAAGTCCTCACTAACTCACTCCCTTTCATCCTCACTCACTCACTCACCCTCACCCACTTACTAACTCCTCACTAACTCACTCACTTTCATCCTCACTCACTCACCCTCACCCACTTACTCACTCCTCACTAACTCACCCACTTTCATCCTCACTCACTCACCCTCACCCACTTACTCACTCCTCACTAATCACTCACTCACTCTCACCCTCACTCACTCACCCTTACCCACTTACTCACTCCTCACTAACTCACTAACTTTCATCCTCACTCACTCACTCATTGCACGCACCTCGCTACGCAGAACAACGCTATAGTAGCCTACTTGTTCCATCACCCATGCTGTTAAAGGACCGTCTATGGTCGGCCGAGTTCGTCTTAGATCCGTAGTTTGATGCCAACACATTGCCGTGATTAGAGTGGCGGCTATAGCTTCCTTCAAGCCCGTGTTCTCGGATTACTGCTTTAGACATTCCACAACGTGATGGATTTGTTCAGTCGTGAGGAGTAGGAGACGGAACACTAGACTAGCCTATGCCCATTCAAGGTCATAGCGGCGAAGTACGGCTGGGATTGCGAAAGCTTTATGAGACTGAATGATCAAGCGGAAAGGGATTTAGTGGCCATTTAATATTTTATATTCATATAGGTACATTACAAGTAATCATTGAATGAACATGAATTTGGTGTTGAATTTCATATTGCTCCCTATAGTACGTGCAAGCACGTTTATTGTCATTGTCATTTATTATTTATGTGATCTCTCGTTCTCGATTTCCCAGAGAACAGTAGTAGACCAGACAGGACTGTAGCTGCATAGCGTTGTCGGAGTTTTCTAAGTAAGCATTTATTTCTAAAAATAGGGTCCCAGTTAGAAACTCCGAAGTGAAAGGTGTGCTGAGCAACACTGAACAGTGATACTTACCCCAGCCACATGTCCGAGTAAATCGCACCATTGTACAACGCGAAGTTTGATTATCTTGCTATTCTTGCTAATGTATGTATTTCCCCTACAGCCTTCGTCTACAAGCGATGTTCAAGGCTGCAACAGAAGCTTTCGCTTTCCACAACGTACTCATTAACTGGGAGGATATAACTTTTCTGTTTTAAAACGAATTAATTGATAGGTGGAGTTTAACGTCCCAAAAGCACCATATGATTATGAGATACGCCGTAGTGGAGGGCTCCAGAAATTTCGACCACCTGGGGTTCTTTAACGTGCACCCAAATCTTAGCACATCGGCCTTACAGCATTTTCGCCTTTATCGCATATGCAGCCGCTGAAACCAGGATTCGATCCCGCGACCTGTGGGTCAGCAGCCGAGTACCTTAGCCACTAGACCACCGCGGCGGGGCTTATAAAACAAATGTACGTAGAACAATCAGGTGGATTAGTTAGAAAATACGCAATGAAAACGATGGCAGTGTATTGGCTGTACTATTTCTTAGGAACACAAATATAGGTAAACGTAAAATTTCTCGTAAAACCGCGTTTGCTTGAGATAACAAAAAATAATGAAGAACTAAATATCAAACATACAGCAGAATTGGACACACACTTACTCCTGACAGCCCTGCACTGAAAAAGAGGTTAGAGGACCTGAGCACGTATCCTTATGTAAAAAGAGGAAGCGGAGAAAAAAAACTTTCACTGAAGTGGCCTGCTTTCGCATCATTTTCAAGGCTTTTGAGTCATTTTTATCAAGAACTTCAGAAGCAACAGCACAGGGCTATAGGCTCTCTCAAATTTTACTTCTCTCCCTTTTGATCCCTCCTTATCAATTTTCTTGTGAGCTGCTGCTGAGGGGTCGCACTCTGACGTAGACAGTTGGCGGGGCTCACTTTTAGTTTTTCGTACTTAAGAATCACTACCTCCGCCCTCCCCGTGTTCTCGGATTACTGCTTTAGACATTCCACAACGTGATGGATTTGTTCAGTCGTGAGGAGTAGGAGACGGAACACTAGACTAGCCTATGCCATTCAAGGTCATAGCGGCGAAGTACGGCTGGGATTGCGAAAGCTTTATGAGACTGAATGATCAAGCGGAAAGGGATTTAGTGGCCATTTAATATTTTATATTCATATAGGTACATTACAAGTAATCATTGAATGAACATGAATTTGGTGTTGAATTTCATATTGCTCCCTATAGTACGGGCAAGCACGTTTATCTTGTCATTGTCATTTATTATTTATGTGATTCGCGTTCTCGATTTCCCAGAGCACAGTAGTAGACAAGACAAGACTGTATCCTTCAATATCGTGTCGGAACTTTTGTAAATAAATATTTATTTCTAAAATGGTGTCACAGTTAGAAACTCCGAAGTGAAAGGTGTGCTGAGCAACACTGAACAGTGATACTTTCACCAGCACATGCCCGAGTAACTCGCACCATGGTACAACGCGAAGTTTGATTATCTTGCTATTCTTGTAAATGTATGTAGTTCCCGTACAGCCTTCGTCTACAAGCGGTTTTCAAGGCTGCAACAGAAGCTTTCGCTTTCCACTAACGTACTCATTAACTGGGAGGATATAACTTTTTTGTTATAAAACGAATTAATTGATAGGTGGAGTTTAACGTCCCAAAAGCACCATATGATTGTGAGGTACGCCGTAGTGGAAGGTTCCAGAAATTTCGACCACCTGGGGTTCTTTAACGTGCACCCAAATCTTAGCACATCGGCCTTACAGCATTTTCGCCTTTATCGCATATGCAGCCGCTGAAACCAGGATTCAACACTGAAAGCCAGTAAATACGGGGATTTTGGAGAAATATTTTGGCCAGGAACCTGATTGTTTGTTTTTACTTGCAGCCAGGCACTGCCACACATTTGAGCATTTTCGCATTCTCTCTCGATGAAGAAGCGACGAGCGCACTCAGCAAACCACCACTTCCACTAAATACGGGGAAATCTATTGAAATTACTTCATCCTCGAATATTAACCTTATACTTCCAGTCTTGGGTCGACCGAGAATTGACCGACCAGGCGGCCATCAGACTCACATTCACCAAAACTACTCAGACAGCTTCATTCGTTCTTGAAGTCCCTATAATTGCCCTTTAATGCTAATATAATTACTGAAACTTCTGGCGTTGTATTACGTCTTGCCATGGATTATATGTTAGCAGTTGCCGTAGCTCAGTAATTATAGAAGTCGGGAAATTGGCACAAGTGTGTGATTGGATTTGATTTTAAAAAGCGAGTCAGTTGTTGGTGGCTGAAACTAAACCGATGCAGTGGACTCGGGCAGAAAAATTCCGAGACTTGGCGGAGAGGAAACGCGTATATGCAATACAAACACCAATGCATTCTGGACGCGAGAATGCCATTGTGTCGCGATAAGCAAAACCTAAAGAGGCTGATTCTTCACTAAAACAATAGGATGCTCTATTCTTTCCCGCGTGATCTGCTCGCCTGAGGTGCCAAAGAACCGACGACGTTGACAGGGGGCATCTCAGCAGCTGCAGCAGTGGCGGTGGTAGTGAAAAGCGTTTATCAAGCAAGGCAGATGGGAAGCCACGCGGGAGCCCTAATACTAGGTGGAGTTACTAGTCTGGGGCCCCTGTAAGGGCCTTGCAAAGGCAGAGGAACGCTTACTCTTCCACCTTTAGACCAAAACACATTTGTGGCCGGCAGTTTTCGAATATCTTGATCCTGCGTGTACAGGAAAACGCCCGCATGCTGTGCGGAGAAGCCCTCTGACATCTTACTAATGGTGTGCGCATGTCAGTCAACTCCACCCCTCACCCCAAAACCAAACCCCACACGGGAGGACTGGGAGGCAGCCCTGCTCAGCTGTTCCGATCTGACGAGCCAGAAGGCCCTGGTCAACCAAGCTCGAGTCGCGTTGGCTGCCAATGGACTTCTGTAACAAGGAGTTCACCTAGTGTGTGTCAGGGATGACCCGCAGCGGGCCATCTCCCTCCTACTCCCTGTATATATATAACTAATAGTTTTTCTCTCTCCACGTTGCTCGGAGCCAGGGGCATATTCAGAAATATTTTTTTCGAGGGAGAGGGCACTTCCTTGATTTAGGTGCCCGGGGCACCCTTAAAACGGTCATTTTTTTTTCTCTGTATGCCATTGCGAAAAAAAGTTCGGGGAAAAGGCCCGGTGTGCCACCCCCTGACTACGCTACCGGTCAGAGCCGCAGCTCATGACTAATGCCTTTTGGGTGTGAAGATGGGAGTGACCCACAAGGGCCACCACAGAGCCCACTGGGCCGCCCAGAACGTTACTTTCAACCCTGGGTCACCTCCGAGGGTCGAGGGCAGGGGGGCTGACCACTGAATTTAGGTGGCAGGCTCACGCCAAACGATAGATGTCGGCAAACTCACCGCAGTGTCGGTAGCTACCAGAGTTCGTGTACAGGTTAAACGTCTTGTAGTCGGCAAGAACGTTCCTGTAGTGCGCTTTCGACCAATGCACGTCTTCTACTTGAAACATCGCAAGTACACCCTCTTTCTCGGGCCCATGCATGAGGGGGAGTACGTTGAACTGCCCATAGTGCGATACATTGCAGACGCTAACAAAGCAGTTCGCTGGTTATCGTGGTAGAGACGTGATTGGGGGGAGTGTCGGAAGCGATGTGCTTTATTTATATTCGTTGCACTATCCCCTTACTCCTAATAATGATCTCAAACCAGGGCTTGATATGCCGGCTTATGCCTTTCCCGTTCAGCATACAGTCCGTCGTGGTCATGTTGTAGACATCACGTAATCCGGATTGCAGCACGGCCGCGGACGCCTTTTTCATCACTTCTTCCGGGATCCTCTTCACCGGCTTGTGGTACATGAGCGCAACGACATCGGCCCGGTCTGAAACGAACCCAAACGTGCCGATTGAGAAAACATCAAATCTTTCCTTGGCGTTATAATTAGCGACCTTCAGTGTGTACATCAAGGGCACGCCCACACATTCGTTTCTCACAGCCCATGCGACGAGCGATCCAATCAACTTACTGTAGCGATAGGAATAATTATGAGTGCAAGTAAGCGCAACCAACAGGGCCAGTGGGGGAAGGGGGGGCAGAAGAGAACACAGGGCGCTGATGCTGTGTGATTGCGCTCTGTGTCTTATCTCCTGCGCCCCCCCCCCCCCGTCGCTTGTGCTGATTTGCTTTAATAATCATTTTGGGCCAACACACCCATGTCTACAACATTCTAAAATAGTAATGAGACGTTTTTGCATGCGTGGCTCCATGCACCCCTGCGGCAGCTACGAGTACGAAGCGTGGAAGAAAGAAAAATCAAGCCACTTTCACTCACCAAGTTGAAGTGGTATGAGCAGCGAAGCATTGGTTCGCATATATGTCTCCCTTGTGTTTTTTATCTGAACTTTTCTGGTATTCAGTGTTATTTCTAGAGCTTACCTAGCGCGCAGGTAGTTCGGAAAATTGTCCACTTGAGGAGGCAGAAACGGGCAGTGTCGCTCTTGCATTAATTCCTCAACTGGGCAGTTTATCGGAGACGCGCGCGGCGTATCATTGGATGACCATTTGTTTTTATCGAATGATGGGACATGAAGCAGGTGGTAAACGAACCATGTTTAGGTGTTGGTCGCACGTGTCGATGTCGCTAGTTAGTCACCAGTCACAATAAGTGACGCGGCTTGCTTAGATAAAAATTTTGAATGAGTTCTAGGTGATACGCAGTAGTTTGGGTGTTACGTCACCGATGAGCACCTATAAGAAAAGTGACTCGCCAACCATGGCTGTCTTTTACAGTGTTGTGTTGAGATGCCGATACGAGAATATATGAAGACGGGGCCTTTTTCAGACGTCGCAGTAATTTTACCGAAGTTATGCTAAGGCTAACAGGTGAAACGTCTTGCAGTCGGCAAGACCGTTCCTGTAGTGCCGTCGTTCCTGTAGCTGTCGTTAAATCTACGTCCAGACATGCCTCGGCTGCCAGCGGTGGTGTGTGCTAGTTGGGAGATTAGCGGGCCTATGACATTCACTTCAAGTATCATGATAGCCCTTCGTGTACATTGTCATGGACCACGTCAGTCAAGTCTAGCTCTTTTTCATCTTCCTACAACAGCACCAGCAACAGCACGTTAAAAGAGCCCTGCAACACTTTTCGAGCATGGTCAAAAAACGCTGCCGACCGGTAGTAGAGGCTCCCGAAAACACGCGAGCCAATTGCTATAGCGCAGCATGTGACCTAGAGTTTGAAATCAATTATCAAAGTCAGCCAAAAATTGCACTCTTATCTCGAAAAATGACGGAATGCGCTCAAAAATCACTCGTACAAGGTCATCTTTCAGCCATTGGCTGATTTCAACTTAGCGCACTTGGTCGTTACAGAGATCACCACGGGAGGCTGTGACTTGTCCACGCGTGTGCGCGTGATCACACTGATAAAGTCGCGTATTCCAAGAAAAAAAGAAAAAGTGCTCAAGGTAACGTGGCGCGCGTGAGGTATTTTCTTTGCCCCTGCCATTCCTCCCTGCTTAGCTTCCAGCGATTTCGTCGGGACGAGAGAAGCGAGAGTGCGATTGCAGCGTGCTACAAATCTTTGTGATTCAGCTCGTACTGGATAGATTCTTAAATTTTTGCAGCGTTGAATTTGTGAGGCAGTAAGCTCTTCCAGTGAATTCATTCCGTGATTACTTGAAAAAAATGTTTCAGGTCCCCTTTAAGCAATCGGTCGTAGGTACCACGTACGCACAACTGTGACGCTGCTAGGGTTTGATAACTCTCGAACCCACGAGAAGTGGTTTGAAGTTATGATGTCAGATGATGGGCTCTCAAATCATGGATTTTCATGTATTGCGTGCTCTACATGCGGACGTTGTAACCACAGTTGCTAGAACTCTAACCATTCTTTGCTTTTGCCCTAAAATACACAAATTTCAACAGAAAAGAAAATACAACTAATCTTGTCGCCCGTACTTTCAAGTTTCTTTCCAGTGGCACGTACTGTCAAACATAGATGGATTATCGATAGCGTTGATACCTCGCCTGAACACATGTCTCCTGACGAGAAACAGCTGCCGAAACAGACCTTTTTTTTTTTTTTTTGCTCTGGCAATGATGTTGACGCACGGATCTTGCGCAGTAGTCATCGAATACAGTAATGTGGCGTTCGAAACTGTGTTTATGACCCCCGAATCACAATTGAGGCGTACGAATCAGCATAGAACAAGGAGCTGCTCGGCAGATTTCTCGGCAGACGGTTGTCTCGTGTGTGATCTCCTCCCTTCGATGACCACTCGCGCATCTGGGCTTGGTCCACGGGCTTTTTTAACAGTCTCCCAATATTTTTTTACTTTTATCTCAATCTTTTCTTCTCTGTTTTTCACCTTTAGTCCTTATGAGCTACAGCGGAGGTGTCGCACTCTGATGCAGACGGATTTAAGGATCACTACCCCCGCCCCCACCCCCACACTCCCTGTAAAACAACAGTGAAAGCGTGCTGTACGCCAAAATAAACCTATAGTACATTTTGTACACCACTTCCTGGTTCTGGAGAGGCGGCCGGATGTTCCAAAACATTCTTCAATGAGTACTCGACAGAATTCTATTAAGCAACAACAACAAAAAAGACGCCATTGTACTGAATGCTACTGACAAAGTATATCTACAGAGAGCATGCAAGGACTATGTTCAGCAATGCTGTTAAAAACCTTCTACAAAGTGCCTATTAGTTTACGCATGAGTACTCGCAGCAATACTTACAACTATTGCAGATGTGCTCCACCAGATATGTCTCATAGTCCGTGTCCAGTACTTGATAGAAGTGAGGCGGATGAACTGCGCAGAAATAAATAGTGAAGTTGTGTACCTCGCATTGTCGTTGACAAGCAGATAAATGTGCCGGAGTAGTTGCAGTTGCGCGATGTTCTCGAGGAAACCACGTTAGCGACATGTAGCACAAGTACTCGGTAGCACTGCTATGTTAGCTCTTGTTTTCACTTCCTTCCTACAGGCTTCCGAAACTCAGCGGCTGTGATATGTTAAGCCGCAAAGTCTGAGGACGTCTGTTCGAATCCCGTGTATGAAGGTGTACTTTAACCTACCCGGGTGTTCATGAATGCTGAGCCGTACCTCGTGATCAGTCCGTCGTGTTGGCTCATAAAGCTAACGAAATAATATTTTTTACGCCATTTGTTCATGCAGCAAACAGCTCATTTAAATTAACTTCACCGTCGATACGTTCGGGATCCACTGGGAGTGCGGTGTTACTGACCCACACATGTTTATACTGCGAACATTTTGAACAGGGTCTGCTCAGTAATGGTATACAGGTAGCTTGTTGATTATTTCCATGACCCATTTAAGTAGTACCCCATGTGATATTTTTTAAATATATTTTTGCAGCATGCAATACGATCGATCGCCTTTAAATGTGTGAAATTCTTTTCATTTAGTGCCAAGGGGACCAAATTCAACGCAAGTGGAAGTGTTAGAGGAGGTTGCGTGTATTGCACCGAAAATAACTGTAAGTTCAACGTAAATAATCGCACCGCCATGGTGGTCTAATGGCTAAGGTACTCGGCTGCCGACCCGCAGGTCACGGGATCGAATCCCGGCGGCGGCGGCTGCATTTCCGATGGAGGCGGAAATGTTCTAGGCCCGTGTGCTTTTGAGTGCACGTTAATGAACACCAGGTGATCAAAATTTCCGGAGGCCGCCACTACGGCATCTCACAATCATATGGTGGTTTTGGTACCCACATATCAATGAACCCGTGACATGAGATCACAGTCATATCCTACAAAGCAAAGAGGAAACAACTAAGAAAAAATACAGCATATCCACGAAATGAATGATGATGACTGCCTGTCTGTCTGTATGGGACAACGTCATCTATTGCACCATAAGGAATACGCTACTGGGTACGTCGGAGGGACGGCGGATTGCCCTAGACCATAAGGAATTTCACGCCTAAAATCACCACCTTATCCCCAAAGTGAATGAGAGATGAGCTTGCTTGGAGGTGCACGGTGGAATTCTTGGCAACACCATTTCTTTAGGTAGGCTTGCTAACGAACTGACGTGTACGTCGAGAGCAGCCTTGTCAGACACGTTCCGCGGCCGGCACTGCCCAGTGTTGGCGGCTCCATTGATCGCTGCGTTAGCCCCCCAGTTGCCCCTTTCTGCCATACTGTCCACTGCCGTAAGTCAAATGCCAAACAGTCATAAATGCAAGACGCGGAGCTATCAGGTGCTCTTCAACAGGGTTGAGAGCAGGCAGGTGAAGGGTGCCTGGGAGGATTCGGTACTCGTGCGTAACACTCATCGGAGGAACCTGCCACGTGCCGTCATGCCTACGAAGCGACGAGAACCAAGCGGACGTAGTCGCGGGGTAGCGAGTGCGCGGGCCATCAAAAACCGACGCCTTGGGGGGTGTTGCGCCATCTAGTGAGCATTGTTGGAATCATCGGAGAGGCGACAGAAGCGGTGACCTTGAGCGACGGCCGGAGACGTGTACACTGGCAACATTGGCGTGCACGCTGGCACCGCCGGTCAGGGCGCGAGCATAAGAAGCTTGTGCGGCGAAACTGTGGAAAAACAGCCTGTGCCTGCAAACTTAAGGAATTTTCGCTCATTTTGACGGGCGAAGCTCCTTAGGCCCGCACTCTGCCGCCGCCACCGTCACCGTCGAAGCTCCCTGCGCCGGGCGAGCGCACCGAGCAAAACAACAGTGCGCAGAGGCGGGGGCAAGTGGCTCGCCTTAAAGCCCCTAGATCTAGGGGCTTTAGCTCGCCTGCGCTGCGCACGCCACGCGCCCTCTCCCTCAGTCGTTCCCGCCACAGAGCGCAGCATACGCGCTCCCCACACTACCGCCTTTACGACACCCGGCAGCGAGACCAGGCGCATATAGTCGCTAGCATTCCATTTCTAAGGATCTTCGCTCATCGGTTTTATTCGTACCCGGTACAACTGCTACTCTTTAGTTGGTGCGGTAGATGGCTTCCTGACGCTTAAAGTTGTGCGACGGATAGCGAGTGTCATTTTCGTTTCCAGGAATTTCGCGCTGTGTACCTTTTACGCTTAAGTTTTAACATTATAGAATACCGACTAGCCCATTCTTATACCTTCCTTCGGCATAATTAAGCCATGTATTCAGATGAGGGCACCGTGTCCCAAAAGGATGTGGTGCTTCATGTGGAAACAGGTAGCGCTAACGAACAATGACTCAAGGGAGGAACGAGCGCACGAGACGAGCGCTAACTTCGAAATCATGTGCTTGTTCCTCCACTGTGACGTTGTTCCTCCGCGCTACCTGCCTTGACATGAATTCCCACAAACTAGCCCAGCTGTTCGTTCTCGTAAGGACAGAAGGGGTTTACGTATGATTTTCGTACGTGATGTCGTAGGGTTACACGACGTAGGGCAAGGCTACACTTTTCAGTGCAAAGCTTCCTGCTTGCTGTGCGGTGCGTAGAATTTCGCAATGTTAACTGAAGGAGACTATGGCGCTGCGTTCATTCAGTAACCATGGCAATCGTTGTTAGTACATAGATTTGCCTATTCTTCGTGCTTGCAGGCTTCGAGCGCACTTGCGGCTTCGTCTATTGTATTGGTTTAATTTCGAATAGAGAAAACATATAATTTTGAACTTCGTGATCCGATTGGAATTGGCGGCTCTAAATGGTTAAGGTTGTCAAGTGTAACTGCTGGACATATGCCGATTGTTGTTTCGTGACAAACAGGCTCCAAGACTCGCGAAGACGAACGAAGACAAATTACAAATATTAGAGAAATTCATGCACTACTCATCATTCCCATGCTCGCTGAAGCGCCTTGAGTTGCAGCTCCCGTAGACACTAGCGCCACAGTTCCCTGTACTGTACTTATGGGAAACCCTGTGGTGTGCTTGACCCGTTTTCGATTCGTACAGATGTGAAAGTGCCGTGCTCACTCCTCGGGAATCGAATCGTGTCTTCGTTATGCACTCCATTGCTGTACTCCTTCGTCATGTTCCACACTTGCGAGTCAGTTCTGCGGAGTAACATGAGCATCGATTATTTTCATAACAAGCAATGAATAACGAGAAGAGAATTAAGTTATCGTGTTTCACTTTCGCAATGTTCAACACACTCGATGTCGACAATATCAGAAACTCAACAGCATTAAACACCGGATAACAATATCTCTAATTCCACATAAGTGTGTTTGCAAAGGTTCGAATAAGAATTGGGGAAAGATAAGATCAAATAAAATCTAACCTTGACCTACCCAATTTAACTGTCCGGAGGAAACTGGCGCGACTGCATTTTTTTCATAAGATATTTTTTCACAATCCATCAATGAAGCGAGACCTCATTTCACAACCGTCATACCACTCATCGCGCATTGATCACCAGCATAAGGTTGCCATTCCGTTTTGCCGCACCAAATTCTTTTCAGCAGCCTTCTTACCGAAAACAGCCGCCGATCGGAACCACCTTCCCTCTTCCGTTGTAACAATAACAGACCCTTTGTTATTCAAGACTGCAATTTCTCAGCAATGCTTGTAACTATATACACAGTTTCCATTATCTATCTTTGTCTTGTATGTGCTTGAATTCTCACTTATACATTTTTAGTTGACTTATGTTGCCTTACTGATTTGCGCATCTGACACTTGTTTCTTTATTTTGTCTCTTTTTTCTTGTGTGTTATAAATGTTGTACCCACCCCCTCTGTAATGCCCTACGGGCCCTGAGGGTATTCTAATAAATAAATAAATAAATAAATAAATAGATAAATAAATAAATAAATAGAAAGACAGGAAGTTTAACCAAAGTAGAACTTCGGCTGGCTACCCTGTATCTTGAGACGGGACATGCGCATGAAAAAACAGAAATATACGGCACTGAAGACGCCCCTTAATCCTTATGACTTAAATCCCGGCTGTGGCGGCTGCATTTCCGATGGAGACGGAAATGCTGTTGGCCCGTGTGCTCAGATTTGGGCGCACGTTAAAGAACACCAGGTGGTCGAAATTTCAGGAGCCCTCCACTACGGCGTCTCTCATAATCATATGGTGGTTTTGGGAGGTTAAACGCCACAAATCAATCAATAAAATCAATCAATCCTACAGTGACAACAATAATCTCTAACACCCATAATCTTATCAATGCGCATTAACAAGGTGTCAACGAATGTTCAGGTGACAAGCAACGGAGAAAAAAATGGCGAAGCTTTTATTAGCCGTGCAAGACTTTGAAGAGTGGAACTGGAATACTAATCTGGTTTCTTCTAGGTCGTTGCTATAGGCTCTAGCTAGGTGACACTGGGTTGTTTCTAAGTTGATTCACAGGGCAGAGAGGTTCAAGTTAAACCACGGGCAGTCACAAACACGACGCGGATGTTTAAACTCCAAGAGACAGAAGCTCACGCTGTAACCGAGCGTTCGCAGTACTCGAATATATCTACGTATATCGTCGTTAACGTGGGCGCTCCATTGCTTCGGGGACTTTTCGCAGCCGCCGATCCCTTTACGGTTCTTTGGCGTTCTCTCGTTCTACGTACTCGGGCTTTTCGGCTCACCGCCGTCACTTCGTAGGTACTTGTTCGTACGGTATATTTTTGTGGTGATTTGTGTGCTACTTATACGTACTGTGTGCCGAGCCGTTGCTGGCGCAGAAGCCCTTGTCAGGGCACACGGCCTTCACCTTCTGCTTCCTTTCTACTTTCTACTTGAGCGGGAAAAAGTAAGGTCGATTCGATTTGTTGAACTGTTGCCTTCTTCAATTTTACTAGACCAGTGGCGAATGTTGTGATCTTACCCATTTTATGGGGCATGTTCCCGCTTACGATAATGATAGTTTTTTTTTTTGGCGGGCCGCACGCACAAATTATGGCATTAAGCAGCTTTGCTGTTCGATCGATGATTAAAGTTCTGTTCGTAGAGAAATTCGCACGAGAAATGAGGATGGTGATGAATTCCGCTACGTTCTCGTTGCGTGTTCATTAGTTTTCAGTTCTCACAGTATTCCGACTAAGTTGTTATCATTGTCAGCTGCAGGCTGATTGTGCGCGCGTTAGGACAAAAGTTCTCCCAATTTACCTGGTGTTATGCTACCCGGTACCTCGTACAGCGAAAGAACTGCCCCATGGACACACTGCCAAATTTCTTCTTCTCTTTAGTGACTACGAGGCAAAATAAGTGCTGCCTTCACGTCTTCGCTGCTAAATATAGGCACATTTCATTTCGAGTGGAAGCGCTGTCATCAGTGGTGCCCATAAAGCCGTACTAGAAGTGATATCTCGAGAAATCCACTTTCATGCCAAGACAATACACGAAAATACAGTGCCGAGACAATGCTTGGTCACTTCTACCAGTGTTTCTCAGTATTGTTCCCTAAAGCAAATAAATCGAGTGGATATTTCGCATGGGGTAGCTAATTAAAAGCAGGAATGATATGCATAGTTAGCCGCTAATTAACACCCACACATAAAAAGAAAGATTAGGACAACGACACAAATGGCTCTTTCAACTAAATTTGTGTCGGGACACAAAGAGTATACTGATAAAAATATTCAATACACGTGATCAAAGCCACAAAACTGTAGCTAACAACACAACCAAAGCTCAATGACTCTGATCTCCGAAAAGTGCAGTTATATAATGAAGATTCTCAACTACACAATTCACCAACCTTTTGAGTGTGAAACGCTTCCAAAGATTCACGAGTCATTTGTTTTTTACTCCGATCTCCTACTCAGCGGCAAACTATGTATTCAGTATCTCCCCAACCAGGCCAAGAAGAAATTTTTAGCGGGACGATGAAATGGAGAGGCTGCGAGGCCGAGGTCACGTGTGTTGGTAGAACGACACTTACCCCCCTATGATTCTCAGGTAAAGCTTCCCTTCTTTTCCGCGATAACTCCGTGAAACGCACTGAGTGACTTTGTGCGGTTTGTCGACCAGAGCCTGAATCCAGAGTTTCTTCCCAAGCTGCAGAAAGGGGGCGGGCGTAAATGTAAAAGCACAATAATTATTAAAAGGGGCTGTGCTAAGACTACTCTGAAATCTCATATTATGGTCACTGTATACATTTTGTACAAACAAATGCAAAAGTTTATGAACGAGCTAGTGCACCAATGATTTTATTGCGTACATATAATATAAGATACTATAAGATACATACGTATCGATACATTGTATGATACTGTAAGCACATTTTCGCCGTTGCTTTCAGTCGGAGTTCATCAAGCATACTAGTTGCGAAACTGCGTTCCGAAACACAGAAATGACCGTGACCAATTCTGCAGAGGACCTCCAGGTTGTCGCGCCATCTGAGAGCAGTGATACGAAACACTGAAGCCCAGGGTGGCGTCCCTTGGCGAGTGCTTTTTTTGTAAGCTACTAAACGCTGTACGCAGCGCTGGAATCATCGCGAGAGTTTAGTGGTTTATTTCGTGGTCAAAAGATGACGCGAGAAATTGGCTGAACCCCCGAGATTTCAACCAATGACGTGTCCACATTTTGATACATGGTGTACGCGGGGAGTTTCGCAACTCGTACGATTGAAGAACTGTGGCCGTCGCCGCCATGTTTCGTATAAAGTACAAATCGACGGCATCGCTGCGCGTGTCGCATGTTCTATGTGCGCGTGCAAGCATGCAAGAACTGCGACCACGCGTGGCTCAAACAGAGATGAAACGTAGTAAGGGGGTCTTCAAGGAAATGAAAAAGAAGCTACTTTCTGTCTGCCTAGAGTTGGCGACATGGCTAAGTATCTTGTAGGAAATGGAGATGAAAAAGAATAGTAGAAGGAGAAAGATATAGAAGGCGGAGCAATCGCTGCACAAGAGTGAAGATAGAGAGAAGATATAAAAAACTTTCAAGGTGCATGGTAGAAGTCCAAGGAGAGAGCTACATGGCGTCAAGAGGTCACGCACGGTGGGCCGATCGGCGAGAGCTACGTGGCGGCAGGACGTCACCGACGATGGGCCAATCGGCGAGAGCTGCGCTTGGTTCGGAGGTCACGGACGACGCAGCCACTCGGCACGGAATACACCGAGCGAGTTCATGAAACGTGCCGGCCAGCTTTTTATAGGCGAAGGAGAATGAAAAGGGAGGGGGAGTGGGGGCGTTGCAAGGGCAGCAACTGCCAACCTTGACCAATAGGGTGCGGGGGTTGCGCCTACAGCCATCAGATGATGACTCGTATCATTGTACGTGCTATGCTCTCGCCGCTTATGTTGTGCTTAAGCATGGAACTCTCTTGGAGAACACGAGAATCAATGCTGTCCTTGGAGCTGGTGCAGTTCTTTACGCCAGCGTTTCGCAAAGCCGCGCCAAATGAGATTGTTGAAAGAGTTGTATGCTAACGTCACATCGCGTAGCATTTCAATTACCCTCGCGGCGAAGCACCAACTCGTTTGATGCTTACATGTGTTGGTTCATGAAGCCTATCCCGGCCATGTTTGAGTCTGAGTGGTGCAGCCTAAGTGCGCATGTAGAAGATGTGCCACAAAACGAAGCAATCTTTCTTTCTCCCCTTTCACCATATATCCATCTATTTTACTTTCCCCAGAGAGCAGGCAGGTGTAGTGTGGGCGTAGGAGGAAATTCTCAGCCTACACAACGTTTTTGTGTGTTCGCCTATGCATAGAAACTCTAACACTACTTTTACTACGACGACTACTACTATACTAGTTCTTCTTCTACTACTATTATTATTATTTTTAATCATATTATTGGTATCATTATTATTAGAACCGGTAATAATGAGACAGTTTTCGAAGTTTTGTACACTTCAAAGCATTAGCCAAAAATAGAAAAAATACTATAATAAATAAAGATATGGTACATTTAGTACATTTCTTTGTTCAAGCACTACGAAGCTGCTGTATGTATTAAGTGACCTTGTTCCACTTAACCTGGTACTTGCTACTTTTTCACCTTGTCCTCCTCGGCACCTTGTTCCAGAATTCATATAATTCCATTCAATTTTGCCAGTTGCGTTGAAATGCACATCGACGCTTTAATTCTGCGCATTCTGTTAGTGTGAGGATATAGATCAACGGCGCAGGGCCGAAGTATTGTACAGTTGCGAATATTGTAACACCGATTTTGCAGTTTCGCAGAGTGGGCGCAGATAAGCCAATCGCTTGGTGCAAGTTCGAAGCAAGTGTTTCATATTGGCTGCGCTTACAGCCGCAGTCCAGCGCATTACCTTGTCCCAGTCGACCTTAATTGAACTCTTCAAATTTCTGCACTTGTAGGAGTTTGATACGGGAACTTGGGCCAGCAGAAACAGCACAAGCACTGACACTGCAGTGTGCATCAAGACTGGCGCCATGGTACAGCGTATGGATGTACTCCTGGGATTCCTTAGAGTAGCGCAGGTTTACTGTAACAAAACAGAACAATTAATGAATACTCACAAAATAAGTATTATCTTCTTTGTACAGATCTGACCACAGCCCTCTTAATTGTGGAATGAGCCTCCGTAGACATAAACGGTGTTATCAACATGTGGAGGTGGTGGTCGCTGGTTCGAATGCCTGAAATATATCAGCAGTTTTTTTTCAACTAATTACATTCATTTATGAGAAATTCGTTGGGATCTTTTGGTAGCATTGTATTGTAGAGAGGTGAATGTTCAAACGATACCCATGTTCTGAGGGCGATGGAGGCTTCAAAACACCGCTTACTGCGATGTTTTTATTTCTGACTTTCTTTTAAACTGAAATTTGTAATCTTGATAACCTTGTGTCAAGTAATGCCAAAACTGAGTCGTAAATGTATAGTATTTCATAGTATTGCATAGTTATGGTTAGCGTAACTCGTTATGACCAATTCAAAGGACTCTTCTTATTTAGAGTATATAGGAAGTGAAAGGTTCTTTGAATCCAAGATTAGGGGTCCTCGGCAACTGTTATTGTCGCTAATTGAGTGTCCACAATCCTGCACTTCAAGGAAATTCATGCCACAAGTCCATCTGAGTAAGTTATGAGGCAGGCTTTGTGCTGCCCCCTCCCCCTAGATGATAAGGAAGGGGGTGCTAAATCTTCCTTATAACTTCTTTGCTCAGTCAACTTGTGGTGTCATTGTTTAAAGGGTAGTAAGGAAGGGGGGGGGGCAGCTCTGTGCTTCGCTTATAGTTTCACATTATTATGACGCACGGGGTCACTGTGTCTTGAAGTACCTGCCGAAGCATACAATCCTTTCTATTTAACTATCCTGCAGCCCATGCGAGAACGGAGAGGAGCGTTCGTCAGCGCAGAGCTCTGATCTCCAAGAGCGCTCCAAATCTGTTTCAGCCGGCTGTACTGTGGAAACATTCCTGAAAACTAAGCAGTGTCATATAGTCTCACGCAACTGAATAACTTGAATTCGTTGTCTCGATGGTTGTGCTATGTCACTATGTACGCGACAAGTAATTTAGTCTAGACGATTTACTTCAGAACTTCATACAAGGGGACATTATTTTTTGTACCTTTGAGGCGTCATATTGTTATGATATTCTTTGAAATGTACACCGCACTTGCTGCGGATTAGTTACTTTGGGAACGTTCGGGCCCATTGTGCTCTGTTTTAGACCCCTGTAAGGGCTCAGTAGTATCCGGCGCCCTAGTGCGCCAACACTTTTTCATGTCGTGTCAACATAAAGAAAAATAACTAGCTGAGGATTACCCCGACTGTGCAAAGATATACGTAGCGTGAACTACGGACAAACGGATGGACGGATGGACTAGCGAGCGAGAGATTTCACGCGAGTCAATTGCCAGCCTACTAGTGACACGTCAGCCCTCTAGTGACACTAGTTATCGCCATTCCCGGCCATCACCTGTGGCACATACCCGCATTACCAGTGGCCCATACCCGTCTGCGTGCGGGTGTGTGCCGTTGTCTGGCAGAATGTGTTTGATGACGTGCGCCACGGGATTGAGACATTAATAATGTCATGACCGGAGGGTTCAATTCGTCAAACCATCTTACCCTCCCAAACTAATTTTGGTTTACGCCAAGTTCAGGGGGTGATCGGGAACACTGATCACGATAGCAACCTGGCGTAGACAGACAGACAGACAGACAGACAGACAGACAGACAGACAGACAGACAGACAGACAGACAGACAGACAGACAGACAGACAGACAGACAGACAGACAGACAGATAGATAGATAGATAGATAGATAGATAGATAGATAGATAGATAGATAGATAGATAGATAGATAGATAAAAGTGATTTCAGTATGCTAATAAATGCTTCACCTTTATTAGTCTCCCTCATGCACTCGCGTCAAAGGAGGAAATGCCCTGCACTTCTAAGGCTGTCCCAACCATGGTGTTTTTGGCTGAGCCGTGCTCTCAAATACGGATGCAGAACTCTCTCTCTCTCTCTCTCTCTCTCTCTCTCTCTCTATATATATATATATATATATATATATATATATATATATATATATATATATATATATATATATATATATATATATATATATATATATATATATATATATATATATATATAGTAAAAAGAGGTCGACAAACGTGCGAAAAAACACTAGTTTTACTAACGTTTCGGCAGGCCTACCTGCCGAAACGTTAGTAAAACTAGTGTTTTTTCGCACGTTTGTCGACCTCTTTTTACTGCATTTTCCACCGGATCCATTGAATATCACCCCACCATATATATATATATATATATATATATATATATATATATATATATATATATATATATATATATATATATATATATATATATATATATATATATATATATATATATATATGACGCTATGATGAATGGGCGACGTGGCCTGGCTCATACGCTATGTTTATTCCTTTCTGACTTCTTTCTTCTTCTCTACTTCTACAAACCATTGCTACCTTCTTACGTTACAGGATTCCCCCTCCCCCCGAAAGAATGCTCGCGTTACATATTACAATACATGATGAACAAGCAATTGTGGAACACAAAAAATGTCTAAATGGGCTGTAGTTCCACATCACATTGAAGTTCCGTAAGATCGCACAGACTTCACAGGAGAGGGCAGAAATCCAGGGTTATCAAGTACGGCTCTGGAGGGCGAGGCTGGCTGTTACGCTCTGGATGACATAAGCATGCTTTGGGCGTAGAAACCGACGGAAATGCAGCCAGCGTTCTTTCGAGGAATGAACGAGGCTGTTTATTTGTGTCCGCACCTCGGGAGATAAGCTGTTCTGATGCATGAATGAGGACGGTTGGCCCTGGGCTTGGCTGAGTATATTCGGAGTTCCGCAGCTCTATCACAACCGTAGTGGGCGAATGAGGCATGAGGTGAGCGTTGTGAGCGATGAAAGAGCGAAGTGATGTAAAACCAGGATTTTCACTCTTGAGTAGTCATGGCGTTGTTCGGTATTTTCTCCATGCGTCAGCTGGTCTACCATGAGCAAGGCGTCCTTATAAGGCAGATGGGGAGCGTTAGAAGCGCTTGAAGAACCGCGTGACGAAAACCCAGGTGGTGGACCACGTATGCGAGACGAAGAGTGAAGGGCATCAGGTGGTTGAGCAACGTCAATGAGTCGGAGTTGATCAGTGGGACGTTTGCAAATTGAAAGCTTCTCGAGTATTCAGCAGGCCATTTGGGCGACAGCAGGCCGCGAGGAAAGACCTGGAATGTCGCGTGCAGACATCGACAGAATCATATGTATCCTACATACAGGACGTATTGGGCCTCTGTCGAAAGGTGGACGAGAACATGAGCGAAACTGACAAAATCGCTCACATATTGAAGGGAATTGCCGATGACGCGTTCAATCTGTTGATCGTTAAAGATTGCGCCACCGTCGACGCGGTTGTGAAGGAGTGTCAGCGCTTCGAGCACGCCAAGAACCGTCGCATAACCCGCCAGTTTGCGCGTCTGCCTAATACTGCAGCCACTTCGACCTGTGAAGACAGCCTCGAGTTCACGCAAGCTACATCGTCCGAAAATGTCACCCGAATCGTTCGTCGTGAACTCGAAGCAATGGCTCCTGCAGCCATCGCCTCTGACGGTCCTCAAGACAACGCATCCACCGTCTCCCTCATCCAAGCCGTCGTTCTCCAAGAAATAGCAAATCTCGGCATCACACCTGTTTGCGCCGTTCGCACCACCGAGAGCTCGGCTTCTGTTAACCAGATTCCGGTGTACCCTTCACGCTACCCTTCACGCTACCGGAACCCTGCTGAATGGAGAACGTCGGATGATAGACCGATCTGCTTTCACTGCTCTCGCGCCGGCCACATTGCACGCTACTGTCGCAATCGTTCGTCATCCAATTCATCTTGGAACACTGGGACATGGCGTCGCTTTGAAGGCAGTTCTCGCCGCTTTTCTACTCCGTACGATCCACAGCCTGCTCCTACTAACGTTCAGGGCCGAAGGTTCAGCCGGTCACCATCACCCCAAGGCCGCCGATCTCTCTCGCCGATGATTTCTCGATCCAGGTCCCCTGCACGACCTGGGCCCTCAACCTCGGGAAACTAGACCATGCAGCTCCCGGAGGTGACGCTGCATTAACGACCCATTCTGCAAATCCTATGTTGACGATTCCTACGCGCCGCAATATTTTGGACCTTTTGGTGGATGACGTTACCGTTACAGCCCTCATAGACACTGGTGCACAAATTTCAGTCATGAGCGCTGCTCTCTGTATTAAACTGCGAAAAGTGACCACGCCTCCTATTAAGTGTGCAGTAATGCTTGCCGATGGGAGCACATCTGCTGTTATCGGCATGTGTACCTCTCGCGTGTGTATTGCTGGGCGCCAGACCATCGTATTGTTCACCGTGCTTGAGCAGCGCCCACATGACGTGATTCTTGGCCTCGACTTTCTCTCTGCGCACTCCGCCCTTATCGACTGCTCGACGGGTCTTCTTCAGTTGGAACTGCCTTTTGACGCAGCTGTTGCCCATGACGCTCAAAGTCGCCTTTGTGCCACCGAGTTCCTGCATCTTCCGCCGCAAGCCGCGACTTACGTGCAGCTCGTGTGTGATCCGCCTGTGCGCGATGGTGAATATGTCGTTTCACCTATTACCGACGTTGTGCTAAAGCACTCCATTGCTGTCCCGCACACCGTGGTGAGAGTATGCCACAATCAGACCCATCTGTCTCTTTTGAACTTTGGTTTCTCCACGCATGTGCTGCCTGCTGGTATTAAACTAGGCGTCATGTCGTCGTTGCAAGAGTGTGATATTTCTGAACTGTCGGCTCAGCAACCTACTCCGCACGTCAACTTGCTCACTGCGCCCAACCTGTCAAGCATTGACATTGCCAAAATGATAGCGCCAGATCTTTCGCCCTCCGAAGCACAAGACCTCCACCGTCTGTTGACATCCTATGCGGACATATTCGATCTTGACAACCGCCCTTTAGGCC